CACGGGCGACTTCCCCCCCCCCCCCCTAGTAATCCTAATAGCCACTCTCACCGTTACTCAAAGTGAGGGAATTTTGAGTTTTCACCAGAACAGCCACAAATGGGAAATCTTCCAATGGGGACCCTTGTTCTGGTGACAACTAAGAGCGGATTTCCCTAATTTTAGAGAAATTTGGGCGCTGTGTTGACAGACTTTGGGCTTGTGTCCATGACACCAATTTAAGACACTTGTGCAGTTACTCAGAATTAAATAACACGTAAGAGAAAATTTAAATGACAGAATGTGTTGATGTCTGATAGGGTTTCATGTCCTCCGCTGAGTTCTGAAATATGTCTGCCTTACCAAAAATGGCCACTGGTTGTCACCACTTGCACATTATATGTTCATGGCACCAAACTGTATGGTTATATTCATTTAGAAGTTCAGTTTAGCCTTGCTTAAAGTGACACTAAACTCGGATGTTAAATCCTAAAAATACATTCACATACCTTAACTATTAGCAAAAATGTATCTTATTTGTATATCACTCGGCTGTAGATCGTCAAATCATCTCTGAATTCATGCCGGCCTGTCCTTCCTGGAGGGTACCTACTTTTGTTCCCCATGGTCTATGTGTGTTGTAAAGTAGTCACCGCTCCAAGCTCACTCCTGTGATAGACTACAATCTCAATACAAATTAGCTAACTAAATGTGAGTCTGTAGTTCATCACAGGAGTAAGCTTGGAGCATTGGCTACTTTACAACCTACACAGGGGAACAGAAGGAAGGACAGTGTCAGTACTAATTCAGAGATGATTTGAGGATCTGCAGCTGAGTGATACACAAATAAGACACATTTTTGTTAATAGTTAAGGTACTTGAATGCATTTTAAAGATTTTACTCCTGAGTTTAGTGTCAGTGTAATCTAAAGAGGAAAGGTAAATATATTTAAAAACAAATGAATGTTTCTGAGAAAGTAATCACGAATTAGACTTAAAAGCATGAGTTTTTTTTAATATATAAGCTATTTATTAATATAAATGCTTCAGATAAAGCACACATTGACATTGCACACTGGTCTATACTTTGTAGAAGAGCAGACTGCTTTTATAAGGAAGGGCTGTGATCACTGAGTATTTCCAATGACCCCCACCCTTCCCTCTAATGATCTAATCTAAAGCACTCCAGTCCTGGTTGCTTCCCCTTTTGTCCTGTCATTGGCTAGAAGTGGATTTTAGGTCCCCCGTCTGTTATGCTGGGAGGGGACAGACGAATGGAATCTGCTATCTGTAAAGGGACATTGTGAGAATCCATACATTGGGGCTCCTCATTATTCAGAGCCTCCACACCAGATGTGACTAGGACTCCTCATTATTCAAAACCTCCACACCAGAAGTGATCGGGACTCCTCGTTATTTAGAGCCTCCACACCTGAAGTGATCGGGGTTCATCCACAGCCTCCACACCAGATGTGATCGAGGCTTCTTGTTATCCAGAGCCATTACACTAGAAGTGACCGATACTTCTAATTTTCTACAGCCCCTACACCAGAAGACACCTTTTTCTAGATCCTTCACCCTAGAAGTGATCGGGGCTCCTCAATATCCACATCCTCCACCCCAGAAGTGACCGGGACTCCTCATTATCTAGAACCTCCACCCCAGAAGTGATCGGGACTCCTCATTATCTAGATCCTCCACCCTAGAAGTGATCAGGACTCCTCATTTTCTAGAACCTCCACCCTAGAAGTGATCGGGGCTCCTCATCCATTTCGCGCTACCACCTCCAGGGAACGTTGCTGGGCATGGCTGGCACTTGCTTGCAGTTTTTTGGGTTCATCACAAGTTTTGTCGGCTGGATCGGGGTGCTCATTGCCACTGCTACAAATGACTGGGTATTGACCTGCGACTACAGCATCAACACATGTAGAAAGTTGGATGAGCTCGGCTCTAGAGGACTTTGGGCAGACTGTGTCATCGCCATAGGACTGATTCACTGCAAACCACTGGCTGACATCCTAACCCTGCCTGGTATGTTCCCTACAATCCCTATCAGTCACTGACACATTTCATTGAAATGGCCACTACTCTTGTGTTTTTCAGACGATATATAATGAAAACAGCATCATTATTACTGATTCATAATAATTATTTTAGTAATAATATGTAATCAAACTACATTTTAAAATAGGGCTTGCATAAGTTACTGTGTTCACTGTGAATCAGGTTTTTGATTTAGGGCCAATATAGACCTATGTGTTTTGGCAAGTCACACTTTAACATGCACTTTACCATTACATATGTTGACGGTGCCATGCATTCTGATAAGCACACCAGTGCACTAAGGCAACATACATGCATTGCACTATATTGAGTTGCATGTTAACTCATGACATAATTGCGTTTTAATGCACCTCACAGATGTAAATGTTTGTTTATACAATTGTGTGTATTCTCCCACATCAAAGGTGGAACACTTCTATCCAGGATCTGTCTTTTAAGGTAAATAAATGATGAATACAAGCTGGATGAATATGACTGCTAAATAGGACCTTTTGGAAGTAGCTGTTTTCTGCACAATCCAGGGGATTAGCTGAATCAGTCCATTTGTAGGACAGAATGTGCCATATAGTTCTCTTCTTTTATTTCCTGCAGATATAAGTGGTTGGCATGTACACTGACCACTCATCTCTGTCTGATGTCACAGTTATTGTGGGTTATCAGGCTGTCTGCTCATATACCGCAGTGCTGTACAGAGAACACCGAGCCAGCCACATCAGTCTCTGTACAGAGGAGCTTAAACTCTAATGCCCCCACCCCACAGTCACTCACTATTCTTATACATATTTATAGTTCTGACATATCGCACAGTGTTGTACAGAGAACACTGAGCCAGCCACATCAGTCTCTGTACAGAGGAGCTTACACTCTAAAGACAACTCCAACCAACAAAATGAACACACTGGTAACTAACTCATCTAGCCTCCAGCGGACATCCCACGGATGTCTATCCACTTAGTGTGTGCGGAAGTGAATAGATTGTCTTACTGACGTCTTTATGACAACTATGGGTACCAGTGCTCACTGTACCAGTGCAGCAGTATCAGCTCTCTGTATCAGTGCCAAAGTACCAGTGCTCGCTGTACCATTGCAGATGCATCAGTGTAGAAGTACCAGTGCTCTCTGTATCAATGCAGAAGTACCAGTGCTCGCTGTACCATTGCAGATGTATCAGTGTAGAAGTACCAGTGCTCGCTGTATCAGTGCAGAAGTACCAGTGCTCTCTGTATCAGTGCTATGTACCAGTGCGTGTTGTACCAGTGCTCGCTGTATCAGTGCAGAAGTACCAGTGCAGCAGTATTAGCACAGAAGTACCAGTGCTCGATGTATCAGTGTAGAAGTACCAGTGCAGAAGTACCAGTGCTCGCTGTATCAGTGCAGAAGTATCAGTGCAGAAGTACCAGTGTTGGCTGTGTCAGTGCTGGAGTACCAGCAGTGACTACCAGCAGTCACTAAAACCATTACTGCTCCTGTCATTGAATCTGCTGGGCAGCCCCCTCCTCACACTGCTCCGGTGTTTGTTCTGTAATGGTACACCTCTCCACCTCTCTCCCCCATCCTGTTGCTTGTTCAGAACTCCTCAGCTTCCTCGTAAATCCATGCAGACTCACCCTTCACAGCCACCTAGACAGCCTCTATCTCCCGGAGTCCCAGCTTCAGGTCCAGTCCACAGCCACACATGCACCTTCCGTCTCCAGCCTCGTCTGTACTTCTCCTCCTCAGCCCGCCACACACTATATCAGGGGTAGGCAACCTTGGCACTCCAGTTATTGTGGAACCACAAGTCCCATGAGACATTGCAACACTCTGACAGCGACAGGCATGACTCCTAGACCCAGAGGCATGGCGGGATTTGTAGTTTCACCACAGCTGGAGTGCCGAGGTTGCCTACCCCTGCACTATATGAATGTTCCGTCCAGTCCGCTGCTTCTAGTTCCTATCTGCCTGGGTTTTAGGTGGCCTGAAAACCAGACACAAGAAGTAAAACCTTGGCTGCCCGGGTCAATCCCGGACAGGTGGCTACCCTTTATGTGACTGGTAAAGTACTTACCGTGTTTCCCCGAAAGTAAGACATCCCCAGAAAATAAGACCTAGCGCTATCTTCGGGGATGTCTGTAATATAAGACCTACCCCGAAAATAAGACCTAGTGTCTTATTTCGTGCAAAAAAAAATAATAATAAGACACTGTCTTATTTTAGGGGAAACACGGTACAGACATTAATAGCATAATAACCACTCTAAAAATGCCCTTCAAAATGAAGAAAGTACTTTCATATTTCTAAACCGCTAGGTTCCTTTTCAGGAACCAGATTAAGTGTCTAGATTGATGGTGCAGATCTACTAGACTTCCTATATCTGTGGTATCTGTTTGGTCAATCAGCTGCAACAGACTGTTTGCAGAGCTATTCTGAAAAGTTTTTAGCACAGCAATGACATTAAACTCAGGAATGATACATACAATGAAGTGGTGACAATTCAGCAGGCAATAGGGATTCTGCTTGATAAACAACACCAAAGATGATCACACTGCTTTCTACACGTGTTGATGGTGTGAATCTATAGCACTACTTCTTTGCTTATAAAGTGGATCTTATCTTTTGGCAACCATATAAAGACAGATGACTTCCTCTAGAAAATGGGTGCTGGGACATGCACCCATCTTTAAATGTGTTGAGCACTTCCAGAACCTGCCAATGTTTTTACTGGTTGATGGATGAGTACAGGGAACAAGTTTAAGCCCTCGTTCACACCTGAACGTTTTGTAGCGCGTTCTACGCTCGAAGAACGCTCTACAAAACGCTCACTGGAGTCAATGGACTCGTTCCCACCTTGCCGTATTTCCGCCCGTCCCGAACGCGCTACAAAACGGCCCACGCCTGAAAAGGTACAGGTAGTACTTTGGGCCGTTTTGTAGGGCGTTTTCCATTGGAATACAGCCAAGTAGCCTTCGGAATCGCGCGACGGTCGCGCAACTTTTTTACCGCGAATCGCGGTAAAAAAAACGCGCGACAGAAGCGCTTTTGCAATACGCCTAGGTGTGAACCCAGCCTTATTCTTATTCCAATTGAAATAGGAACAGTTAGCTAACATATGTAAGGAAATTTTCCAAAACGTTTACAATCTTTTTGTGTGCTATCAATCCATGCTGATCAGAAGTTCTTGTTACTACACATCTACACAGGCCAATTGATGCAAGTGATCCTCAAAAAGCTCACATTATTTGCAAGGTTATTTTAGTGATCTTGAACTACAAAATCAAAAACAAAATTGCTTGATTTACAGAATGTGAGAGTAGAATTCAAGAATTAGAGAGATTCTCACTAAACGGCATTAAATTCTATTTCTTATGTAGCTTGTATACATGTTGCTACACATATACACCGATCAACTGATGCAAGAGAGACTCAAAATGCTTACATTGCTTGCATGGTTCTTTTTGTGATCTTGAACTACACAATGTGAAATATAACAAAGCTGGAATTAACCTTTATAAATTAGAGATGTTCTCACCTATTTACACCACATCCAGATCATCTCCAGAGCAGACCAGATTTTTTTCCAGGCCCAAAATGCATCCTAATGTTTGCCTATGCTATATCTGGCCTCTGTTCACACCAGCGGAGTCCGTTCCAGACCAGACCAGAAAAATACTGCAAGTCTCATTTTGTCTGGTCTATTTTCTTGAAAATAGTTTTTCTGAGCAAATATATTGCTTGTCATTGATTACATCTTGATCTCATATACTCTATGTTTAAACTAGGGATGCACCGATACAGATACTCGTACTCGCCCAAATGCTCCGATGCCGAGCCCGATACCCGAGCTTCCGGTATCAGGAAGCTGGGCAGCGAGTCATTACACGCTAAAGAAAAGTTGTAAAATATAAAGAAAGTTGTATTTTGTGTCCTGCGAGATATAACACAAAACTGTTTTCAAAACAAAAGGACAACAGTACAGATGTAGGTCATGTAAAACAGTGAAGTGCAGGACAGATCTTTGCATGCTTTTCTTGTAAAGTGTTACTGTAATCTTGTCACAAAAAAAGAACACTTGTCTCCCTGTTAGTTTATATTTATTGCAGAGATTTCAGAAACAAACAAAAAAAATGATTGCTGAGTTTTGCCTGCTGCTGTTCTGTTAAAACTAATACATTCATTCCAGTCACTTCCTCCATATCAGTTGGGAGGGTCTGTGTGCTCTAATCATATATCAGTGCCAGAAAAACACTGCCTGGCAAAGCACTGGGACAATAACATGAGCAGAAATGCACATTTCTAGGGACAAGCTGAACACAATGTACCAAATGCCTTCAGTTTTACTATATTAACAGAAAAGCAGCATTTGTTTTTTTTTTAAAGAATGAGATGGCTGAAGAAATGAATGAAAGTAAACATCTTATTTTTCCCATTAAGAGCAAAGTGACAGGTTTCCTTCATAAGGCACTTCCCCACCCACTGATACTAAACTAATAACAAAAATGTATTTTATTTGTGCATCACTTAGCTGTAGATCCTCAAATATCTCTGAATTCATGCTGACACTGTCCTTCCTTCTGGAGGGTGGCTACTTTTGTTCCCCATGGTCCCTGTGTGTGTTGTAATTTAGTTCCCCATGCTCAGTGCTGCTGCAGACAAATGGGGAGGGCGTTGAAGGTATTATTGGATGGGGTGCCCTACTAAGAGAACCTTTCACTTTTTTTCTGAATGACTTGTGTGGCCATTAAGAAAGCAACTTTAATCAGTTACCCTCCACAATGTAAATAAATGGCATTGGTACAGTAGAAAAAGTTACCGCTTTGGGTAAAAACCGAATGCTGGCACCTAGCTAGCAGTCTGTCATTTGAAATGGCCCGTATAACTCTACATTATTCTATTAGGTTCCTTTGACAGACATTCAGCAGACCTGCCTACACAGTGATCTACCCAATCTGAATACCTTACTGCTCTATAATTCTGTACTGGCCTCTGCC